ATAATAACTGTCAAACCACTGAGAATCATGGCCTAGCCAAGCTGACACACAACATTAACTATCACACTCCCCAAACTCAAAAATAAAATTCTGCTCTGTTTAGAAGATGGGCCGGTGCTACGACTGGTGGGTGGCTCCAGTTGGTGCTCAGGCCGTGTGGAGGTCCTCCACCAAGGGGCCTGGGGCACTGTGTGTGATGACCTGTGGGTTCTGAGCAAAGCCAAAGTTGTATGCCACCAGCTCGGGTATGGACGGGCTGTCGCTGCCCCTGGCAAGGCCCACTTTGGCCGAGGCTCTGGAGACATCTTCCTGGACAAGATTCAGTGTTCAGGAAGTGAGAACCACCTTGGCCAGTGCCCCAGCTCTGCCTGGTCAGACCACAACTGTGGCCACCACGAGGACGCTGGCGTCATCTGCTCGGGTAACCTCTTCTCCCACGATAGGATCTCTGATATTTCAGCCACTGGTGTCTTAGTGTTGGATGGAGACCATGTACAGTTCAAGGCCAGGGAAGCTAAGGATGGTGGCCCAACACATGAAAGTCCCTTCAGCCAGGTAGACAGAGAACACGGAAAGCCTGAGTCCATTTTGAGGACGAGCACAACAGGGCCACCCATTGACTACCTATTCTCTGCCCCTCTCCCAGGTCTGGGGCTGCTTGTCCAGAATGCAAACATACCATCGTTCTTGCTTATATGGCATGAAGCCTGTGAACTCTAGACCTGTCCACTCTAGAAACCCACCACTTCTCACCTCATAGAGTTCAATTCCAATATTCTAATATATATATTTTTTCATACATGCAGATGCTGGAGACTGGGCTCCAGATGTGACCCCCATACTCTCAGGTAGGCCTGACCCTGTGATTTCCCATCATCTCTGCAAAGTTAGCAAGAAATCTGCCCTCTGCCCAGTCCTGCGCACTGGTGGACAGGGGCCTGGACTAGTGATGTCACTTGCTGCTATGCACTAGAATCACCGGCAGAGCTTTTAAAATTCCCAGAGTCCAGGCTGCACCCCAGATCAATCACAGCAGAAACTCTGGGGAGAGCATGAAGCATGCAGGCATCAGTCATCTTAAAGTCCCCCCACCCAGTGACTCCAGTGTGCAACCAAGATTGAGAGCCAGTGGCTCAGACAATGAGCTAAGAGCCACATTTCCCAAATGAAATCACGTTCCAAACTCCTCTCTGGATGACAGAGCAAGGAAGGGCAGGAAGGGAAGGAGGAGAAGAGGGCTGAGATAGAGAGGAGAGAAGGTGGAAGTGTTTGCCTCTTAGGGACATGGATTAGAAAATGAAAGCATGCAGGAAAGCAAAGCTGGCGTTAAATGCTAAACTCTCCCAGTAGGTCAAGAGTAGACTGGTGGTGGGAAGTGAAACCATTTGAGGCTGTTCTCTGGGCCTCCTGGCCTGAACCAACACAGCAGGGGTAGAGAATGGGTAGCTCTTCTGGTGACCTCCCAAACTCAAGATTCAAACCAGACCCAGAGCGTGTGTATATAGTATCCCACTGTAAGCGTTAATTCAGCAAGCCATTGCTTG